GTTCGACCGGTGGGATGACGCTGGATATTGTTGGAGGGATTGCCACGTTCGCGGTCTCGTGGCTGCTTTTTATCGCGATGTTGGCACCTTTCGTAGCTGATATGATGCTAGTGGTATACCGAGACATGCGATTCTCCTTTAAGCTTCTCGCTTCTTTGGTCAAAGAGATGGAATACCTCAAAGCCGCGCCGATATCAACCGACGAGGTCCAAGCAGCCTACATTACAGCAGGTTATCTCGTTGTCATCGCTGCACTTTTCGCACTAGTTCGCACTTGGGCGAGCTGGGCTAACCTGGCACTCTGGAACCCGACGCAGATAGTACTGAATCCCGTGAATACCACTAATAACGGGAAATCATCTAAGAAAGGCGCGGGAGGCGTAAAATACGAAGCGCTCGCACTAGAAGATGGTACAATCTCGGTCGAAGATAAATCTACAGTCAAGCTGAATGAAACACCGACTATGCGCTACCAAGCCCTACGTGTTGCCGTCGTCATCCTGGGCCTTGTGATTCTACCGGCGATTGCAGTGGCAGTGCGTAGTGTCTGCTCCCCACTCGTAGCATACGCGGCGTTGAACGTGACGCTGAACGAGTTGCTTCTCCACAAGTTTGAACCTGCTCCTATCGAAGTGGATCTTACGAATCTAATCGGTAATAAACCGTGGGTGGAGAAGTTTATCCACAAGTCTGAAAAGCACGAGCGGTTTGGAGACGATACGATGTTCAGACGCACCACAGGATTTAGTGGAGACCTCGCGTTCAACGTCAGCATCGACAACGACAACCCGCCGAATGTTTTACTCATTGGCGTTGAATCTTTCCGGTATCGCGACTCACGCTACCTCGTGGGAGAAGAAGACCCTTCTAACTTGTTCAAAGGTACAAATTTGACAATAACTCCGAATTTTGACAGATGGGCGAAGCGTGGCGTTGCAATGCGCAATATTTGGTCCAGTATCCCCACGAGCCGGTCACTGGAGAGCGCTTTATTCGCTCAAGTTCCTTACCACAGCAACACGCAGAGTGGAGTCACAGGAGGGAAAACAGAAACCAAGCTTTCTGGATTACCGCAATTATTCTCTGAAAAGGGATATGAAACGTATTTTACGACGGGATCGACGTTGGAATTTGATAACTGGAATATCTTTCTGCCATCGCATGGCTTCGATTACGTGTGGGACGCCAGGAAGATGAAGAGGATGGCGCAACAGAGTCTCAATATCAGTCGCGAGGATTGGGACGGCATCGAACACCGAGGGTTTGGCTGGGGTGTTCACGACGACCTCAGTTTTAAACTTTTAGGCGACTTTTTACTGAAAAGGAGGGCCCAGCAGATCCAGAAAACGGCGCAAGGAGAACCCAAAATGCCCATGTTTATCACACACTACACCATTACGAGTCATGAGCCCTATAAATCCTGGCCGAGGTGGTACCAAGAGTCTGCCAAACCGGATTTTTCGGCCATGTATGAAGGCGAACAACACGCAGACAGGATCGAAAGATACATGAAAGCGAGGTATTTTACCGATATGGAGCTCGGTAAATTCATGGACCGCATGGAGAAGGAAGGATTCCTGAATGACACCATCGTTGTCATCTTTGGAGACCACGGTCAAGCACCAGAGATTGACAACTCTAACCTACACGAGGAATCGGTAACACGAGTGCCAGCCACTATCATTGCTGAAGGTCGACTAGGTGATGCCGTGGGGCTTGTGATAAACGATGTAGCAGAGCAGTACGATCTTCTCAACACTCTCGCCGACATTACTGGCTTACCGAACGGAGGATTCCAGCAGAATGGCGTTGGACGGTCACTGAAGCGGAAAGCTACTGACAAGCGTGTGGTGTTCAGTAATGACCCGCTGCGCAAGATGGCGATTGTGCGCGGACAACAGCGTCTCCGTTACGATGAAGTTACGGAATCAATGATGCTGCACGATACGGAATTGGATTTCCACATGACCACGGATCTGTTACCTTTCCTCAAGCCGGAAGAACGTGCTGAGTGGGAAGCATTGCGAGAGGATGGCCGTCTCATTACCGCCTACTACAAGAAGCGGTGGGACGAGAACTGCCTGCTCTCTGTAAAGTGCGATGCCCAACTGTAACGCTGTACATGCTAGAGTTCCGATCAATGAAGTACATAATCCATATCCTTAGTATCTACTACCTACTACGTAGTATTAAGCTGTTACGTCGAAGCAGGGAATTACAGAGCGAACTTAC